AGAGAAATAAAGAATAAAAAAAAACAAGAAAAAAGATAAATAAGAAATAAAGAAATAGGTGAGAATAAGAAAAGAACAAAAAGAGAAATGAGTGAATGAAAAAATATTAAGATAGAATAATTCAAAAGAAATAAAATAAAAAGAAATAAAGATACATTAAATGGTTGTTCAAATAAAAAGAAGGGTAAAATTTGAAAAGAAATAAAAGAGTAATCAAAGTAATCAAAGACATAATGATAAAATAAAAGAATATATATAAAATAAAAGAATAAAAGCAGAAGTAAAAGAAAGAAAAAAAAAGAGAAAAAAGAATAAAGAAGAATAAAGAAGTGAAAAATAAAAAAAATAAAAAAATAAGAAAAAGGAGAACATGAATAATTTTAAAATATAATAAACAAATGAAAATACATCGATCACTCTCTACTAAAGAAAAAGACTGAACATGAAATAACAATATAAAAGTATAAATCAAAATAAATAAATGAATAGAAAATAAAATAATGTTAAAAGAAATAAAAAATACAAAGGAGAGTAGTCTGAATTGAGTTAACCTATAAAGGCCCTTACATATCTCACTGATGCTTAAAAGTCCTCTACCCATCCCAAATCCATGAAACCATTTTAAAAATGATTCACTCGGATGAATTTCTATTAAGTAGTGTAAGCTTTCGCCTACCCCAATCCTATTGGGCAATCGGACATCCTCAGACCTTCCCCAGGGTAAAAGATAGTAAAAATAAACCCATCTCTCCCCGAAATGTAAGCTTCCCTTGTATATATTTTTAAGATTTTATTATTTCCTTTTATATTTGAAGGGTTTTATAAAATTCTTATTTGAAGTTAATGTTTTTACTTTAAAAATAAAGAAAATTGTAAAAGAATAATAATTAATTAATTTAAATAAAAGAAAATCAAAAGAATTGTAAAAATAAAAAATATAAGTTCTTTATATTATAAAAAAATTAACAATTATAACAGTAAAAGTACAATTGTAAATATCATAGAATTCAAAATAGAAATTGTTG